GAAAGAGATTACATACAGAAGACTGGAAAAAGGGTTAGAAGACCTAATGGTCTAAAACAGAAGATAGAATGAGAGATGACCAGAGATTCAGCTAAACATCCAAGACCTCTAAGAGATTGTGAACCTGTAATAAAAATAGAGAGGCCATTTATGAGAATAGTTTTTTAAATAAGTATGTGTAGGTTGCCAGAATCTGGGAAGTAAATCAGGGTTAAAAACATCCTGATGTTATTGGCATGGAGTCCTCTGATTGTTCTTTTTATCAGGATACGTAATAACTTCAATTTCTGGTGAAGCAGGTTGATGATGACTGCACCAAGTTAAGCAGGAATTATGTTTAAAAGAAACTGAAGCTGAGGCAGACCCTAATGAGTTATATTAATCTTTAAGAAAATAGTGAAGAAAGCATGGTTTTCAAGATAGCTGTTACTGGGAAGATTTTGATATATTTGAAGGAAGCATGCTTCGAAAGGGTATTTTTTTCGAACAGGTCTGTTTGCTCATCTGAAATAGCGGCCCTGTGGGATCAGGCTGATAGGACTAATTACCATTTTGAACCAGGTAACAACAGAAGTTTGCAGAAGACCATCATGTTATTTCCTCTAGATGGAGAGGAGGAAGAAAATCAAGTAAGGAGAGTATAAAAGTGGGTAAAGGAGTGTCTTGGGACAGGATAACCCATAGCAAAAATATATGTACCAATTTTAGTATGTTAATACAACTGGAACTAATTGCAGTACAACTAGAAACTACGTAGAAAAGCAGTATGACTGGAAAACAGGAACTGAAGAATGTGCTATTCAGAAAAGCTGGAAGATAAAGCTGAGAGGGGATCACACCTGTGCTGTTAATGACAAACCAGACTACAAAGAAGTAAGAAAGGATGGTTTTCAAGAGATTCTAATGTGATAACACTTGAAGATCCATTTATTTATCGGGCTGGGATTCACACATGGCTGGATGTCTTTGTAATATTACCAAATACTGTATTAAATTGACAATCTCAGGAGGGCAGGTACTATTCTTAGAATAGAAAGGCCACCAAAATGGGGTGAAAGCCTAAAATGATAGGCTATCTATAGTAGTTTTCATTTAACTAAAGTTGGTTTTGATCTGTGTTGAATATCTCAGGCTCTGACTTACTTTTTATTTTTTAACTAAAGTTTTAGTTACCTGACAGAGAAATGAATAAAGTGTTGGAAAGCTCATGAAGTTGTCTTCATTTGTCCAACTTGTGTGAGTAGGTATTTACAGACTTTCTGACAGCTGTACTGTTTAACTAAAATATGGTGGACCTAGTCAGATGACATTTGAGCTTCCTTAAGGAAGAACTATATGATTAAAGCCTTTTTTGTATTTATCTACTCGCTTGTTTGAAAAATTTATATGAAGTTACAAAAATGATATAGGTTTCTCAGTTATACTATGGATAGGCCGTTAGATAGAAGTCCAAATAAGACTCGGACAATTCAATAATTGTCTAGGATCAGGCATCACTAAATTACCTGCAAAACTTTCAGCATCATCAATTATATTTGCAAGAACAACCATGCTGCATTCCACCTGTTGTTTCAGAATACAAAAACTGAAATTTATTTTACATGTTAAAAAAAGAAGCGCAAATTGTAGAGAACATTCTTAAAGTGAAAAGGATCTGATTAATTGTTGTTGATCTTTTATAACACCTTATTTTATTTTTCACTGAAAGAAGCCATGTTTTCAGTAGGTGTATCTCAACTGAGTAGGCGATGGTAAAGATGCAAGAACTTCTTAAACCTGTGTGGCTATATGACAGACAAGATTTGGACTGATAGCTTCAGCTTTTAAAATGTCATTCTCTTTAATTTTTACTGCTGAGTATTGACATGAATAGACAAGTTGTATTAAAAGAACATTAATTGATTATAGGTGCTGTTTGAAAATGTTTGTTTGATTCCATTACTGATGTCATATTTTCTTTCTGATATTTATAGATATTTCTAATAAATACAGCAGTGAAAAGTACATTATCTTCCATTATGAAGATCTGGACAGCTAATTACAAGAAGTACAAATCACAGATGTTGAAAGTAGAGGGCTAGCAACTATCTCTTCATCTTAAGAGTTATCTTTATTATATTTTTTTTCCCAAAAAAATGAGTACTGCGTAAAAAATTCCTAACACTTATCAGTTCCTATTACTATCCTTACAATTAGCTAAATTAGATGAAGTTACTACAAAATAGTCTACTTGTTAAATGGTCTTCATGGAGCATGACTGAAGTAATCTGGGTAAGATGTATGCACTAGGGTCTGATTTCAAGGAGGAAAATTATGAGCAGTACTTATCATGTTTAAACTTGTGCTTTAATTTTTTTAAAATTTTGCTTATATCACAGTTCTCTGCACTACCGATACTTTGGATTAATAATCTGGGGAAAGGTATGTATTTAAAGTTTTAAAAAGATGTTGCGGTAGTTGAACTGAGTCCAATATGCTACTTTTTCTTGGGATCTTTTACAGTCAGAAGTTTTTCACTTATTCCTAGGAGGACTATTGAAGAGTAAGTAATTTCATATTAGAGGCATTTTCATTTTAAGCTACATTTCTTTTTAATACTGTATATTATGTGATAGCTGAACTTATTTTTCTTCCTCTGAATTGAGGTTACCATGAAATTGATCTTTTTATGGAGACATTAAATATGAAAAGGTTCTAATACTAAAATAATACCATTAACATTCATGGAGGTTAATGACAGCAAAATTTGCCTGGTTATGGCTCCCAAGGCTAATGACTATTCCCTGCTTGGTCTGCAGTGATAATTCTCTTTTCCTATTCTGTTTCATATTTCTGTGAGGATCTTGATATTTCTCTTTTCAAATGAGTTCTTTTTTAGAGCACTTTCTCAAAACAAGTTTTCAGCTGCTTGTGTTAAACTGAAGGTAGTGTTTTGTATCAAATTCAGTTCAGAGGCCATTAACCTCAAAGCTTGGCAATGTAGACAGATATGTTACATAATCATATTTAATTTACAAATAAACTACTAATAGACAAAGGGGCATACGGATTTTCATACTGGAAAAAAAAATAGTTTCTGAATGGGGGGAAAAAACTAGTTTCTGAACAGATGAACTACATTTTGGTAAGATTTCCTGGTTTTCCTGCTGCAAGGACAAAGTTACCTTTTATTTGCAGCTTTTAGTGAAATGTTATTAGTAAATATAGCCATTTCAAGTATTGAAACTTGATTTTAAAATGAGAGAAAATGATAATTCCCTGTTTATATTCTGTTTCATAATTCTGTGAGGATCTTGGCATTTATCCTTTCAAATGAATTCTTTCTAGAGCACTTCTTATCTAATATTACTTTAGTAATGCTGATAAACAAATAAAAGCAGCTAATGAAGGAAACCAGGTCAGCTATGGTTTTCCTACTGTAATTGTACTGTTCTTTATTTCCTTCTCATATACACACTTATTTCCTGAGGGTATGGTATTTGTTCCCAGCCCTGTAATAAAACAAAACTGTGCTTCAAATTTTTGAAGCAAGGAAATACTCTGTATGAATTAAGGAGATATTTAATGTTGAGTCTGTACCAATAAATGTGTGATTTCTGTCATACCATTTTGCAATTATTAATGTAGTGAAATGCTTTTCAGATGACAGCACGTGAAACCAGGAAAAACTGAATATGCAGCAGACATTCTACTCGGTTAAAATCTGATAATGTACTGGGAGTATCAAAAGTACTTCAGGTGATCATTTAATCATGATAGATACTGCTTTTTGGAAGCAAAGTTTTATCTAAACAGGAATTTATTTAAGGGTTGGTTTAGCTTATTGATTTTTACTTAACTTTATTAAATAGATTATCTCTACTGTTCTGTAAGTTTCTGTTGCTACAGATAAGTATCTGTGCCTATTTTTGCATGAATTTT